CCCTCTGCGGAGCAGTTGGGCAATTGTCAAAAACCAGCAGCCAGTTCTGTTACTCATTAAACCGCCCCTACTATAGAGGAAATCTCCTTACCCACGTGATCCTAGCCTGGGGTGGATTTGGGGCGGAGGAAACCCGGCTAGAAGCGGCTCTAGGAGTAACCCAAGGTCACGCCGCCAGGCAGGATCCCCGGTCTGTCTGTCTGGAGGTGGCCCCGCGGCTGGGGCCAGCGGAGACAAATGCCAGCGTGGAACCAGCCCTGGCCCGGTGGTCGGGGATGTGGAGCTGGCACTGTCACTGTGTGTACCCTCTATCTCTCTGGACGGCCTCCGCTTCCCCCGCGGAGAGTTTCTCTGGAACCTTCCTGATCCTGGGAGTTCCCCAGCTGGGGCAAAGCCAGGAGCTCGCCCGAGGAAGGGAAGTGACTCATTCATTTAGAGTCGCAGCTAAGTGGCAGAACTACCTCACACCGGCGCTGCACTCTGACCCCCAGCGGCCAGACCCGCCTCTCCCCGGCCGGTGCCCACTCTCCGTCTAAGACGTCTTTCCTGGTCCTCTCCCTGCTTCCCGAACGCGCACTCTGGTGAGAGCACAGAGCCTGGGAAAGAAGACGACCTAGCGGCCCGGGCTGCCCAGCACATCTGTTACTTGCTTCCTAAAGGGAACTCCAGTTCCTGAGAAAACATGGGGTTGGACCAGGAGTGGTGGCTTATGCCTGTAATCCTAGCATTTTGGAAGGCCGAGGCGGATGGATCACCTGAGGTCAGGAGTTCGAGACCAGCCTCCCCAAGATGGTGAAACCCTGTCTCTACTAAAAATACAAAAATTAGCCTGACGTGGTGGCATGTGCCTGTAATCCAAGCTACTAGGGAGGCTTAGTTGAACCCAGCAGAGGATGCAGTGAGCCGAGATCGCACCATTGCACTCCATACTGGGTGACAAGGGTGAAACTCCGTCTCAAAAAAAAAAAAAAGAAAGAAAGAAAACAAAAGAAAGAAAACGTGGGGTTAACAGCTATGGCCTGTAAGCCCCCATGCCCCGGAGATTACGTTTTCCTTCATTTCCAAGAGGCTGCACATGAGCGGGGAAATCAAACCAATACCAAAGACTTCCTGTGTCAAAAGACAAAATTATAACCAATTTAGTTTAAAGATCTCAGTTGGCTTTATTTTTGGTTCTAGGCTCTGGCAGTGCGTCATTACATAGAACAGAATAAGCGTTCCAATGAGCTGAGCAGAGGGATTTGGCTTTATAGACAGACAGGAAGGGCTGAAGAAGGCAGAAATGAAGATCAAAAAGCAGACAGGTCTTTTCAAAATTACTTTCCTTGTAAGGCAGGGACAGGGAGACGAATAATAGAGAATAACTGATTAGTCAACCTCAGGTTACTTCAGGCTACCTATTTTTGTGTGTAAGAATTAAAGCAGAGGGAACTTTATTATCATGTGTGCTTGTTAACCATGGAGATTGTCCAGGTTCTTGGCATCTTGAACAAAGAATTGAACAAAACGCACAAACAAAGCAAGGAAGGAATGAAGAGTTTCATTGAAAATGAAAGCATGGCC